CTACTGGTATGCTTGATCCTTGCTACATATAAATGCGCCTGTGTGTGTGTGATTTTTAACCAAAATTCACTACTGGTATGCTTGATCCTTGCTACATATAAATGCGCCTGTGTGTGTGTGATTTTTAACCAAAATTCACTACTGCCATACTTGATCCTTGCTACATATAAATGCATCTGTGTGTGGTTTATAACCCAAATACACTATTTTCAGGCTTGATTTTTGCTAAATATAAATGTATCTGTGTGTGATTTATAACCCAAATTCACTACTTCTGTACTTGATCCTTGCTACATATAAATGTGTCTGTGTGTGGTTTATAACCAAAACCCACTACTTTCGTACTTGATCTTTGCTATTTTTAAATGCGTCTATGTGTGGTTTATAACCAAATTTCACTACTTTCGTACTTGATCTTTGCTATATATATAAATGCATCTCTATGTGATTTATAACCCAAATGCACTACTGTCATTCTTGATCCTTGTTACATTTTCAGGAGACTAGAAGAAACACAGGAAATTTCACTTTTATATAAGCAAGTGCACGTGTATAATCTTGATTTGTACAGTGCCCTCTACAAAATAGATATCAAAAAATAAATCCACTTCTGTGACACCCGAGCGTAGATCGCTATTCAAAATAATTTCATGTTTGACGATTCCTAGATATTCTCTTATGTGTAATTCATTTTTCAGCTTAACTTTTATAAAATATTTTGCAGTTGTGGCTTGAATTATATTGGACAGACAAGTAGAAAATTGAAGTTTCGAATTAATGAATACAAAAATGCCGTCGAAAAATTAAAAGCTAGTGATTCGGCCTTGGCGGAATATGTGGCGAACTCTTCATAACATTGAATGGGATAAGGTTCAAATACTTAAAGAAGTTAAGCTAAAAATTAATTAAACATAAGAAAATCTCTACAAATTGTTAAACATAAAATGATTTTGAATAGAGATACAGGCTCGGGTGACAGAGAAGTGATTTTTTTTTTGGAAATCTATTCTGTAGAGGACACTGTACAAATACAAATTATACACGTACACTTACTTGTATAAAAATGAAATTTCGTATATTTCTTCTGGTCTCCTGAAGTTGGTGGATTTTTTCCACCGAAACATGTAAAGTTTTAATCTTATATTTTGCTCTTAACTTTATACAATAAATTATTGTGCATTATTTAAACGTTGACGTTCTTACTTATCTCATGACATATAAATGCGACTGTGTGTGTGAGTTATTCCATCCAACAACGCAAGGTACTAGGACAATTCACTTCAATTAGTTATAGTATACCCTTATAGTAATACTGTAGTTGTCAGAACTGGTGAATTATTCTTGAACACTGGTAGGTAAATACTATGGGGTTTCTCAGTGTATCCGCATAACCTAAAATAGATGAGAAAATGATAAAAAATTAGTAAACTACCTTCGGGGCAACTAACTTTTGGATTAACCCTGAATACTTGTTCTTCTACTTATAGCACAAGGTCCGCGGCTTAAAATGGAAACCGCACGAAAATTTACCATCAGTGGCATTACATGGCTCGATTCGTACGCTATTGTTTAAAAACAAAAACAACAAACATTTATGATTTACTATTACTAAGAATTAGTACGATTATGTGATTTTTTTTTGTAACAGGAAAAAAAAACAAAACAAAGGAATGCAAAAAGAAAATAGATAAGCTTAAGAACACTGAAGCTGTTCACACGGTCTGGACTTTAGAGAAAACTATTGACTACAAACATACCTACGTTCAAGAAAAACCCCACGTTAGCAACCATCGCGCTGCTAATTATGTTTAATCTCCGAAATATTTGGAGTAATAATTTTTTTTTGTTTGGCGGATGTTCCAAAGTTCTTTTGTACGCTTGTGGTAATGTTGTTCATTGTAAATGCCTGTTTATCTCCAATCTCTTTAACTTCGATTTGTAATTATGCTTTCAAGAAGTCGTTAGTTATATTCAGTACCTTGTTTGTAACATATAGCGCCCCCCCCCTCCCACAATGGCTCAGTAGTATGTTTGAAGCCTTATAATGCTAAAAAAAAAAACGGGTTTCGATACCCGTGGTGGGTACAGCTCCGATAGCCCATTGTGTAGCTTTGTGCTTAACAACAAACAAGCAAACAAACTTTTTTTTATCGAATTTTATAAACTCAGTTTTTATGATTCTCCTTATATTGATGTAACTTATTGAATCTGTATACAATTATGTGTTCACTTTTATCTCATAGTGTAATTAAACCTTCGATCATATACATTCTATTTTTACAACAACAAATAACATATTTTAGTGTCCCATGGTGGCTTGGCGGTAAGCTTCGGGCTTACAACGCTAAAATTCAGAGCTCGATCCCGGCAGCTGACACAGCTTAGATATATCATTGTGTGGCTTTGCTCTAAAACACACATAAACATATTTTTCATGTATTCACAGATTTGCAGCATTTATTTAAGGAATCATTACGGTTGGACACACAGAGAAAATTAAATTAATTGCCTTCAGAACAAAATAAGTTATGAAAAAAACCATTTAATAATAGAAAATAAAAACTTACCCTTGTAATAATTATCGGGTGGCCTTGACCGACGCTTAGGACACAAGAGAAACGTGACCCACCACAAACAATGCATTCCTTTGCTTACTTTAGTTAAAATACCCTGGGCTAAAACACCACACTGAATGCTGTTGGCCACTTGTGGAACTTTCTGATCCGAGTGAGATTGTGAATGTTTTACTTAGTGTAATTTTTGTTGTTCCTTTGAGAAAAAGTGAATAAAATATAGTCTTTCATATAACTTGTTAGACAGAGAAGTAGATTCACGCATCCGTTTGGTTGTTTGTATCTTGATATATTCACCGTGCAACATAGTATGCAGAAAACTATAATGAATTGGTTTAGCTTTCATATCAAGGTAGATATTCTTAAAATATACATATTTCTAGATATATTATTTTCTAGTAATGGGAACCTTGATTAAAACTCTTAGAAATACAGTGTGGTCGAAAATTTACATGCTCCACGTCTCACTTTCACCTATGTAGATAACATTTGAATTACAATATCAAAACTTGCTAGTTCTTTGATAACGTGCTCGGACTGTGAATATGAAAGTTAATGGTTCTCTGGACGTTGCTGAAAAATCACACTTAGCACTTTGGAGTTGTGTGTGCGCTAGAAGAGTAACGATCAGCTCCCACTATTTATCAAATAGTGTAGCCCATCTATTGACAGTGGGTGCTGATAGATAGCCGTCTTCCTACTAATCTATCATTTGTAAATTAGGTATGACTTTACCTATATGTGTAGCTTTGCGCGAAATGTCTGAAACAAAACCAAATCTTTGTCAGTACGTGTGCCATGCTTTTTTTTGTACACATATGCTCGTACATAAAGGAAATACAGATGAAAATTATAGATAATTCGTATACTAATTTGGAGCAAGTAGTTTTTGGATCGACCCTATATATTAGATCTACTACGTAAAGTAGTGTGCACAAGGTATGTGGCTTATGGTTGAAAGTGTACGAAAATTTACAATTAATGTCAAAATATGATCTGATTCAGTGTTTTTCGTACTTTGCTGTTTATTAAGCAACAATAAACATTTACATATCGCAATAAATATACGATCAGGATATATACATTACAGTTGCTGGTGATGGATTTGCTCAATCCGTCACTCTCGTTCGTTTTTATTACTGGCGATCAGTTTTAAAGTTATTATCATTGAGTTGGTAGTAACGATTATATAAATACAAATTTATGGAATAACACTTTAACTAGACATTTATTTCATAAACGGCCTACAACGTTTATTTTTGGACAGAATGTCAGGGAATATATTATTATGGTATTAATAAAATCTTTATCTGTTTCTTTCTGTCCAGAACTCCATTCGTCACAACCTGTCCTTGCACAGCCGCTTTATGAGAGTGCAGAACGAGGGAACCGGGAAGAGCTCGTGGTGGGTAATTAACCCGGATGCCAAGCCTGGGAAGTCCACACGCCGGAGGGCCACCAGTATGGAGACTCAGAAGTATGAGAAGAAGCGAGGGCGCGTTAAAAAGAAAGTGGAAGCACTCCGGAACGAGTTGAACATCAGCTCTGGCAGCCCAACTGCTACGGTTTCTGAAGGACGAGATACTTTTCCTGAATCTACAACTCATCTGGGGTTCCAATTAAGTCCAGACTTCCGTCCTCGAGCATCATCAAACGCCAGCTCATGCGGAAGGCTTTCCCCTATCCCCGCCGTGGAGACAGACGTTCATGATAGCCAGGTCTCGAGCTTGTCGCCCATTCCTTGGAGTTCTGACCTAGACATTTTCGCGGCGCAATCTAGCAACCTGGATAGGTACGAAGCCGATCAGCTTGGAAACTCTTTAGCCGCGACAGTGAAACTGGTAGAGGAAGATATGAGCTACCTGTCATCCAATCGTTTGCTGCGTTTGTCTTCCGCTTTGGACCCTAGCACTACCAATAACAATTACAACCTAGGTAGCTACAGGTACAGCGAGAATTACAAGGCTCTTCATTCTCCAGTAAGTAATGACCAGCACCTGCCTCAGCTGCAAACTACACAGCAAAGTACGGTAAAAACAGAAATGGAAACTTTTCAAGCTCTCCCCCCAATTAATTCCAACCAGCGTCAGTTCTCACAAGTTAATTTCTGCCAGACTCTGTCTGAAGATAATCTGTCGCCGATCTCTTTACGTTCGAAGCCTCAAGACAACCCTTTTCAAAATGACAGCTCTGGTGCTCCAATAAATGACCAGCTAATGCCCATGCCTTCAAGCAACCCTCTTCCAAACGACCTGGACTTAAACATGGATACACTTGAAGGTGATCTTGAATGTGATGTTGACCAACTTATTCGCCATGAATTGAATGTTGATGGAAACCTTGACTTCAACTTTGAACCAGTCAGTATGGTCAACACTAGCTCTAGCCCCATGTTGCCATATCCCAAATCTATTACGACCATAAATCGCCCATGGGTACATTGAGACATGTAGTTACATTAAAGGAATTCAGAAACAGATGCTGTGCCACACAGATACTTAAATTTTATATTTCTTACAAATCTGTAACTTATTAACAGAACAATTCATTTAAGTATAATGTACACCACCAGGTGGCGTAGATAATCCATGTATTCTAACTGTCGGACAGGGGATAGTTTCACTGATTGAATTCAGATATTTTGCGTAACATGTTATTAGTTTTGAATCACGTGCTCTATTCCTGTATTAGCTTTTCTGTCCACGAATATGTGAATAAGTTGTACACACGTCTTAAAAGTGACAATGATTTCCAACGAGTTTCCATGCTTCTTTTTGATATTTTGTTTTTAAGACTTTTTTTAAAGACTACGAGTTTATTACTGTATGTGCTATTGTCCAGACCATATTATTTTGTGGGTGTGAATGTCAGAAAATAAACATGCAAACCATCGGGATGTGAAAAGTCTCCTTTACTTCTAAAACTTAAAAACAGAAGAAGAAGAAATGATTTTAGATAAGCTGAAAAGTTCCATTTAGCAATAGTAAGAAATGTTTTCCCCAAACTGAGATGTTTTTGGTTTTGAATAGTTAATAATAATGATGTACAGTATGAGCAAAGATTGTTTTATTTTCTAGGACTTTTGTGGGTTCTAAAAATGTAACCTTTGATGTTCCAAGAATAACAGATTACCCAGTTTTCCATATTTGCTTGAATTGATCTCAAATGTATTGAAAATGCAGGAATTATATTAGATGTAAAATATACATTAATAATGTTCATGATCTCCTCCTATTATCCTCATCCCATTCTTTTGTATGTTATCTGTTTTTAATTATGTATTCACACTTTAGAGTGAATTTCATCTCTTAGGATCGTTAAAACTCTCATTCAAAAAACCTTTATTAATTCTATAATGTTTTAATAGGTAGAACCACACATTCATAAGCATTTACATATGGTAAACGGTCATCTTTACTCTGAGAAAGAGTATTTTGTTATTCCTTCTATTTTACTGTTTAATCGATCTTATGCAAGTGTTTTCCGTTTTAAAAGTATGAACTTACATTAGATACGTTGAATCATCGCACTCGCATGTTGACTGTTATAACATGTCACATTGTGATTTACCAGAATAAAATAGGTATAACATAAAGAGAACAAAAATGTATCTTTAAAAAGAGAAAGAGGTTATTAAAATTATAACATAAGCATTAAGAATATGTTAGTAGACTCCAAGAATTTCTTAAGTTGAAATCTGATAAGCTCTGGAGTGAAATTACATTGTAATGATTCGACCTGTTCACTCGTTATTGCGTTTTATTGCCTCAGAACTCTCAGCAACTTACATAAAATTACTTACTTAATTTAAAGAGTTCTTTCTTTAAACATGTTGTTTTCAAAAGCTATCTTGGTATATATATATATGTGTGTGTATGTTTTGTTAACTCCTTAAGAGTGCGATGTAAAAAGCTCGCACACTACCACAAGAGAATTTGTTTGTAATTAAGTACAAAGCTACACAATGGGCTATCTGTGCTCTGCCCACCACGGCTATCGAAACCAGGATTCTAGCGTTGTAAGTCCGCAGACATACCGCTGGGGGGGGGGGGCATAAGAAAATACTGTAGGGCACTCGGTTTTATATTTGTTTGTTCCAGATTTTATAAAATTGAAATGTTTACATGACAGTGATCTTTATTTTATCTTCCCGTTTTTGGGATGTTAATACTGTTAAAATTAGCCTAGAAAGGTTCTATAATTTTTTTTTTATGGAAGGATCTGTCCATGTATAGTTCAATAGCTCTAGCACTAAACTTGAATAGTTCCAAACTTTAACCATATATATATATATTAAGCTATAGCTAAACGAGAAACATTAAATAATTCGGCAAAACTTTCGTTACATGTTTAAAGTTGCAAAAGTTTCAAATGTTATGCTTACAGACATTCGAATTTAGAATTTTTGATTTTTTTTATGTCCGTATTTGCTGTTATCTTTTCATTACAATAACTGTAACATTTCATGGTAATATTTGTATTATTATTGTTTAAGGATGAGTAGTGTTTTGTTAAGCTTTTGTTGACGTTTTTATAAGGATTATTTTATGAAACTAGTTGTTTGAAAACAAACATTGTTTAATGTTATATTAATTTAGCGAAACACTTGTAACTTTTAACCGATAAGTTTGAGATGATAGGAAGATGTTAAGAAAAAGCTGCAATAATTTGCTTATTTTCCATAAAAGGTAAAATTGCTTGCGGATTATTACGTTGTATACATGTTTAATAACATGTAGTCTACTAAAACCGGGATCATAGTTGGAAAATATTGATTAACCCCCAGATGTGAGTGAAGGTTGGAGAAGCGAGTTTAAAAGGTGAATTATCAAAATTAGGACAAACAAAGAACTGAACTTAAGATTACCCGACTTCTTTAGAATTGTAGAGAAATTGGATCATCAAAGGCTCAGGAATCGGAAATTTTCACCTGAACGGCACGTTATGTGCACCTGAACTAAACAGTTAGGTAAGAGACCACGAGATATCAAGGGTCTCAAGGCCTAATTATGAACAAGAGGGAAGCCAGCCAGCTAACATCTATCGACGCCATTAGGACTTTGTCTAGCTTTGAATCGAATAATAGGATTAACTGTCATTCTTATAATGCCCAAGAACTGAATACTTAGACCATACTCAGATCCATCACCTCTTGAACCTCTGATTCTGTGTCAGGCGCTACAAAAGGGAAATTACCTCTTTAAACTAAACCCATCTTTAGTCAATTAGTATTTGTTAAACTGGTATCTACCACATACATGACTTTTTATAGGAGGCAATTTTAATTGAAAATTGGAAATTGCCCACAATATCGGAACATTTTTAGAAGCCAACTGCTGTTAGAAAAACAACAACAACTAAAATAAATAAATAAACGGCGATAGTGACCACAACATATTCTAATTAGAAAGTGGAAACTCGCACATAAAAACCACGGCTTTTTCTATGTGAAAATCAGTGTACGAAAAACTGGAAAAGGCACAGAATAACCTTGACCTATTCTGTGAGGATTTTTGAAAACTGATAATCACTTACAGTAATCTTGACCTTTTCAGAAGCTAATTGTTTTTTATTAAAAATCTGGAAGTCAGCGACAGTTGCCATGACTAGTTCCAGAAGTCAGTTTTTATTTAAAATGACAGTAATCACCCACATTAATTGATTTGTCAATTACTGTTTAACCATAAAAACTTAAAGTAGCCTTGCCGTTTTCTAAAGTTTGAAAAACTAGTAATCACCGACATTAATATTGACCTTTACTAACAGTCAATTACGGTATGAAAGCTGAAAATCACTCAAGATAATCTTCCCATTTTCTAGATGACAGTTAGTATTTAGAAACTGGTAAAAGTCACAGTGAAAGGAAACATCGGAGGATTGTTTGTTTTTGAATTTCGCGCAAAGCTACACGAGGGCTATCTGTGCTAGCCGTCCCTAATTTAGCAGTGTAAGACTAGAGGGAAAGCTACTCTTGGGCTAACCACCTGGTCATGCCGGGCCAACATGGGAGGAACCATGTTTCATTAGATAACCTATAGTCACTCACAATAATCGCATCACAATGTTTAATAATAAAGATGAATATGGTGGAACACGACAAATCATATTTATTTACAGAAGCTTTGAACGTTTTAGAATACTGTTACGTCTCTTGTCGTTCGTTAATTTTCCGTAGAAATTCTTTCCAAAAAAAAACTTGGCGATACAAGTCCTTTCTTAATTAAAACTAGTTTATTATTTCTCAATTCAACTTTACAATACACTTAATTTCCACATTCATTTTAACTTAAACACACGCTATAATTCACAACGAACGATTCATGCACTTTACTACCGCGCTTGACTCAATTGTCCGTCTCTATCTCTTCAATCTGCAATTATTTATATATATATATATACCGTCACTTCTCGCCCGTCTTATATATACGAAATAGAGG